ATTGCAGCTGGGGGGCTGAAGCACCCTTGTTCCATGTATTTGCATTGTGTATCTTTCAGTCGCACCACATCTATGTCCATGTGCACCCTGTTCAGAGAGATCAGACTGCTGATCCCTTTTAAGACCTTCTTATTTCCCCTTTCCCTCATATTCCTCTTAACAGAGTGATGCTTACCTGCCCTTCCCCTTTGCAGCATGTTTGAAACAAACAATGGCTTGCTTTGCATGCGTTTTCTCTTCTTCCCTAAGAAACCACAGAGACAAACCCCACAGGCCCAGAGCAAACCAAGAAACCCTGCAGTACAAATAGCTAAAAATATTTCTTACAATAGTCATCTTGTTATTCACATATTTGTTCCCAGCCTCCCCATCTAATTAGACTCTGAATCCCATATTCACTTACGCTGGCAGATAGCTCCATTGTTTTCATGTTTTGGGTCTGTGACTATCTGCAGAGCTACAGTATAATCCCATTTACGCTTTCGGTAGGCAAAACCAAAGAGAAATGAATGCCCAAGTGAGGAGGAGCCTATTTGCAAAGACTGAGGATGGCCAAGGCAATTCTAATGCAGTTAATGCTATGGACTCAAATATGATGCAGGGCTCAAATATGGGGCAAAGACAGAAAACCTTATTCAGTCCATAGATGTGTTGGATCACATGAGGCAGGAGCTAGGCAATTACAATACAATCCAAAGAGAAGTTACTGGATACCAAAAGAAAGAATATCATTGGCAGAATCTGTACATTCAAGTGGAAACATCAGTAGGATGTGACAAATACAACAGAGGCAGGAGGAGTATCCAGCAGGTTGTACAGGGACTCGGATTACCCATGTTTTAAAAGCTTCAGTGAGCTGCTGTCTCCACATGCGGACAAAGCTGAGGGGAAGAGAATCAGATCGTACGTGAGCTGTCTCCTGTGCTTGTGCAACGTGAAGCAAGCAGCCCTGAAGCAAACCTGGAGCAAATGTGGCTGTTTCTTCACGGCTCAGATAAATTATGGGCTTGCAGAGAAGCCAAGACATGCTCAGGAGGAGCAGGCTTTGGGATGCAGCCACAGAATCGCCAGTTCGGTAATCGATGCAAGGCATTTGGCACGACAGCTTCTCAGCTGGATTTGTGAGCTGGGTGTTGGCCAACCACTATAGCTCCAAGCACATTAGTAGGGATGTGGTCATAAATCAGTAAGCTCCCGGCCCAGCAGCAGGTTCAGTAGCAAGGACCACACCAACTAACATGAACGCTCAGCAAAGAACGTTGGGGGATTACCCCCAAAGCATGATATAAGCATAACAAATGAGAGAAAAATGCCTGAACAAGCCTTTAGGGTAAACCTGAGTTGTCTTCTCCACACATTCGAGCAGCTACGTCTACCTTCCTGGCAGCTGAATTATCTGTCCCAGTATCAGGGTCGGGTTTATTGCTGCTGCATCTTCACAGATTCAAAAGTAAAACCAAATTCTATCAAATCAGATGACTTGATTTTGATTAAGGGCAAAGGGGAAGGGGAGAAGAGGAAGCTGTGAGAAGGCAGCACAAAAATTAAATGATCTGAAAAGAGATGAATTGAGAATATTTTCTTCTAACTCCTTGCCTGCTTCCCTGCCGTGTGGAAGGACGATAACATCTACATCTGAGGGATAGAAGGAAGCGTGCTTCAACAACGTGCGCAAAATCCATTTGCCATTCCGGCATGAAAGGGGCTATTGAGATGTGTGGTATTAACTGAGCTTTTATCTGATACCCTGCGAACTTTTGAAAGTCTCTTTTTACCCACAACAGGGTCAACAGCCACGAGTGGTGTGGCTGAGATTGGGCTGTGCTGCTGGCACCGAGATCGCATCCTGGCATCGTGTCTGGTACAGAAATAAACTTATAAGCTTAGGGTTTCTCTCCTGTTGCTTAATGCATTAGACAAAAAAGCAGCCAAGAAAGAACCCTGATGTGCCATGGACTAACACAAGAGGAGCTAATGGCTAGAAACTAAGGAAATTCTGGCTCCCTAGCCTTGCCCTATTTGTTTTTTAAAATGCAGCATGCAAATTACCTTGATTTTTACAAGATGTTTCAGGGAAATGCGCTGGCTCAAGGGGCTGATAAGAGACCACAAAACCTTTCCACCCCTAGGTTAGAAGCAAACCTGCCCTGCTTTGTTACCAGCAGGATGTCACAGGGGGCTGATAACCTTGTAATTGGCATGCAAGTTTTAGGCTGCACAGTACTAAACCTGTAATAGGGGAATTGTAAAGGAGGCAGCAACATCAATTATTGATCCCAAATAGAATTAATAAAGAATGAACATTTACTACAGCTGATAAAATGTTCCATGCAGGATCTTTATCCTCAGTACAGCAGCAGAAACAAGACGATAACATGCAGGGGTTGTTTAGCATCCCCTTCATGCCAAGCAAGACATGACGCCTTGTTTCTCACAAGGCAGAAGACTATGGAGCTGCCCAGGACACAGAGTTGGTTTCCATCACGCAATCAAACTTGAGCCGTGCAACTATCTGATTCAAGCGCCGGGTTTCAGTGCAGTTGCCCACCCTTATAGCTCATAGAGGGGGAAGCGACCTGCTGTTCTAACCCTTTGCAAGCCAGCTGCAGATTTGCAGACAGACCTTGAAGCAGGCTGCTCTGCACAAGCAGAACTGGCCAGATTCTCTCCTCGGGTAAGTAAACCCTCTGCTCAGAAGGCAGTGGTGAGGTTTAGGTGAGGGCAGAATAAGGCAGCTGAACCTGAAAGCACACGCAGGTTTGTTGTTAGTGGCAGAAGCATAACCATGTCCTATCGGAAGGGATGAGTGGCACTTGGGGTTTCGTGGTGTGCTTTACTGAGCTTTCAGGAGAAGCTGTCTTTCCCCTTGCCATAGAATTTCAATAGCAAACCTCTCTGGGTATTACTGTGTTTCAAGGCTGCTCTGTGTTCAGGCACGGGATTTCTCTCTTTTGAGGTTAAGATGATTTCTCATTTAGTTTGGATAGAGAGTTGCTTCCCCAGGCAAAGCCTCTCTGGAGACCACAGCCTCTGCTTGCTGTGGACATTTCCAATGATGATACTTTTCTTACCCCATCCTTTTGGTGTGCATGTGCTAGCACCTATGTACATATTGTCAGTGCACACAAATCTACATAAATTAAGCCCCATCCAGTAAAGCTCTGATAAGCAGCAGAGACCAGATTAAGGATAAAGGACTAGATTGCATCAAGACTGTGCAATTCTTTGAATTCTCTTGAAGTTACTCTGGTTTACACCACCTGATGGCGTAAAGCAAAGATTCTCCCATTGCCTTGAGTCAGGATGTTTTATGACCTAGTTCTATTTATTTGCACCCAAACTAAACTAACCTGCATTACGAATTATAGCTAAGGGAGGGGGTATTATTCTCCTTCTTCCAGAAAACTTTGCATTCATCAAAGTTAATTGTAATCGGCCGTGAGCTCCCATAAATAATCAGATGTATTGCTGAGACACAGAATAAATCCACCCAAATTATGGTAATGAGCAGGATTCTGAAAAAGTTTAATCAAAACTGTGATAGAGAATCACAATCAGCAGAAAACTGCCTCTTCTTAAAGCTCCCCTGTCTGCAGTCATCACAAAACCCCTAAACCCAGCAAAGAGTGGAGGCTTCAAGGGTTGGATGTTGGAAATTAAATCAGCAAGGCACTACTCTCCTCTATGCATCTTCAGGACTATATTTATGTTGTCATCAGCATCGTGACAGGAGTACCATATGTCTTGCTGCTGCTTAAACAGGACCCTAGGAATGATGGGATAAGCGCAGGATAACAAGGTTTTGGGCATCTATACTAGACAGGGTTTTATACTGCCCTCCTCCTAAAAACCTTCCTATTGCACAGTTAAAGAGCAGCAGTCATCACCTTGCTTGGGCTTTTCCCCTTTATCCTGTAGCTCCAAACAGCAGTTTCAATACATCACTCCTGCTAAAAGCTCTGTCTTTCAGATCAGCTCCCATTTTCTCTTACAAAAAATGGGTGCTCCACAGGGTGGTCTCCCCTCTACATATCAAGGGGCAGAAACTCCCCCAGTCCTCACTGCTTGGGTGATAAAAAAGCTACCATTGTATCCTCCTGCTGCAGCCCTAATAGCTGGGAACTGCCCATGTTCACAACTGATTGCTGTGAAGTAGCTGATGGGATTGTAATTTCATGTCTTATGTTGTCAGGGAGTAACTGTAAACTCAATTAAAAGCTGAGACCAGAAGAAAGAAAAGAAAGGAAAGAAAGAAGCAGGGGACGTGTGTATCCATATATATGTATGTCTGTGTGTGCCTGGGACAGAAATGCTGCTTGGTGTCCCTGTGCCCCACAATAGGAAGTATCTGCTTTTGATGAAAAAAGGGGGATTCAGAATGAGCTGAGGAAAACCAGGAGCATGACTGGGAAGGAATCCAGCTGACAAATTACATTGAGAACAGATCCTTCCAGGCGCAGGAGGCAGCGAGTTGCAGTTCTGATTGAATAGACTTGTTAATAAAAATACATTGAACAAAAAATGAAACGGCGAGCAAATCCTTTCAAATAACATTTCAGTCCTGACTTAAATCCGTGCCTTCGTTTCTGTGCTCCCCCTGTCCTTGCTCACTCAGCAGGACAATAGAAGAAAGTAAAAGAGGTGCAAACAGACTGAAGCCTGTCATGTGCCCCCCCCCTCCAAGGATATAGATGGGGAGCAGAGGTGTGGAAGGACATAAGCCACAGCAGTCTAAAACATCTTTTCCTTCCCATTGCTTTAAAGTTACAGCTTGTTTTCCTGGAAGGGGAGGCAGCAAATCTTGGTCGCTGTATTATATACCTAGCTCTGTCCCATAACAGGACAATATTGCACCTTTATAGCAGCAACACTTGTTCCTTCTGCTTGTTTTCTGCTACATCAGCACCCTAGAGGTCCACGGCAGGTCCCCACTGTCAAGTATAATGGCTAGAGAACTCTGTTAACCAGGAGCATGAGCTCCATCAACTCCTGTAAAGAGAGCTCTCTTTATGACGACTCTTCCTGAACAAGTTGCTGGGGACTCCATGAAGCACCAGCCTATCTGTGCTTGCTTCACGTTGCTGCTTGGACCACTGTTTTCCTCCCTTCTTTAGCGCAGAGACATGGTGAGCACCACTGGAGGGCCCACGTGTTGTTTGAAGGAGTCTATCCTATATTTGCCACCCCCTGGAGTTAAAATATAATGAGATTTATAAATAATAAATAAATCAGCAATTCTTTTTCATGTCTATAAAAGGCCGTTCTCTAAGGCTATGGAACCTTTAGAATTTCTAATGGAAGTGCAAGGGGAGAGCTAGAGAGTGTTTCTTCTTGATTTTCAAGCTACAGACATGATTTGCGGATGTAAAGCTATCAGAAAAGAGAAATCAAGGAAATTAAATGTGATGAAATCAACTCTTTCAGTCCAGTACAGAGGAAAGAAAGAAGGAGAAAAGTGAAGTTTTGCATGGAACCTCTTAAGAGAAACAGTTACATCCCCTAGACAAACAGATCAAGGTTTTTTAGTGCATCGATAGCATGGCAGTTTGAGCAACTCCTTCACATGCAACAGGGTGTTGAAAACATGAGCTCAGTGTCTGACAGATCAATAAAGAGGGAGACTAAATGGGGGAGAAGAAACTGAAAAGCACTTATTAACCTGGGTCTTGTGAGTCTTTCTGCGTTGGGGAAACAGGACAGACTGCCTTTAGGGTCATTTAGTTCAATGTGCAGGGCGTAGGGTACTAATAATACAAATCCTTCCATATCTGAAAGATTGAGATACTAGCAAATAGACTGATATTCAAGCAAAATATCATGGATGAAACTAGTGCATCTGAGTTGAGGAAGAGCAAAAGAAAAGCCAATATCACACCCCCAGGTTCTGTCTGAGCAAAGCCTGCTCTGCCTTCTTCCTTCCTAATGAGGCGTTTTACAATGCTGATGGGAAAACTCCCTGGTGGAATAGAAGCACCAAGGTGGGAGCTAGGGATACACTAAAATTTATATACAGCAAGATGAAGGCAGGCACACAGGAAGGGAAGCAAAGCAGAAATGAAAGGGAATCGGGTTGACTTGCTCTACTGCACAGACCTCGACATTTGCTGTGGCTGTTTACTTCCATCACCACTTTGCTCCCCCCTAGAGAACAAGCCAGACCAATACAGACCCATGTTTTTTATTTACTAGAACCTTCTACTCAGTTGCCCTTGGTCCAGCAGAGCTTTTTTTGCCTTTGTTTTCCCAAGCACCAGAACAACACTGCTAATCCTACACAATAATATTAATGTAATCAATATGATTATGCCCATGAGAGAACGTCAGCCACTGTAAAACAACACAGCCAAAGGGATCCAGTAACAGAACAAAAACAAGGACAGGAGCTTATTTTCGGATTTGGTTTGTTCTGCTGTCGTTTCCTATGCATTTTTTCTTAGCACTATGTAAAACAGGAATAGGTAGAGCAGAATTCTTGGGCACTGCCAAAGAAAGCCAGCCTTTTGATAAGGCTGAATACCAGAGGCTCGAGCTTAAGTATTTGCTCTTCAGGCAATTGGAAGAACATACCCAAAGCTGTGACTTCCCCATTGAAACCCAGGTAAGTGCTGCCCAAGCTGCCTGTCAGTCAATGTTTGGCTGTGTGATTCTCTGTCTAGTACCACTCTGACAGGGGAGATTGTCAAACTGAGCCTATTGCTGCTTGGCTGCACGGTGCAGGCGCAGCAGAATCTGAGTATTGCTGTCCCAAGACAGCCGTTCTACATGGACTGTGAATGATCAGCACAGGGCAGAGGCCTCGCTTAGAGATGACAAGCACTAGTATTTCTTTACACTTGAAAGGGCTTGGACCAAACACAGAACAAGCAGAGCATCTGCGATCTTGACAGCACTGCCCCGCAGAACTCCAAGTGATTTTCTAGTGCTCTCACAGCCATACCTGGATGCGAACTTGAATGCTGCACTCACACTCTGAGACTGCATTTGTGGAATGAGTCATTTCCTGCCAATCTGGGACAACCTGGGGTTTGCTTTTGAAGGCATGGAGTTTTCTTCCTTGAGCAGTGCAGAATGCAGGAGCTGGCAGGGGGGCTTGGCCGCACGTACAGTTGTGTCTGCGCCTCGTGTTGCTAGGCGGGTTCTTACAGCATGATCCTCACTCTGATGATAGCTACCAGCCACCCTGCACACAGTCACATTGCTGAGAAAACTTCTGTTTAAGTTCCCCTTTTGGGGGTCAGCATCTCCCGGTTGGCACAGCCAGTCCCTTCAGTCTTTGCCTTCACTTCATCTCTTTAAATCTCCCATTACTCCCTCTTCTAAAAGCTCTGAGATGGTCCCCAGAGGCCATACAAGAAATTGAATGAAGATTAAAATGCTGATCCAGCGCTGCTAATACCCCTCAGGAATTACACTAACATCCACTTGGAACGAGTCCCATCTGGATAACAGCAAGAAGTGCTCAAGAACAAGCCCTGAAGGTTAGTCGACATACTAGCTTTCTCTAGATCTCACGTCCTCTTCGACTTTCACCCCTTTTCCCTGGTGTTGAGGAATAGCCTCGAGACCGTATGCAGTTAAGCTCTGACAGGGATCACAGGGTTTTAGCCAGGTAAAAGCTGCCCCTGGTCTCAGGGCTGTATGAGCCATGGACTAAGAAATGCCTGGATGCACTTCCAGGATGTCACACAGGACGTGCAAGTGTCTCATGCACAACTGGCCAAGTCCCCTTGCCTCCCTGAGAGGAGGAAGGGTTACAGCACAGCTAGGAAATCAGTGCCATTTAAGAAGGGCTGGTCTCACACTGATCAGAAACAGAGGGAGCCACTCAGGTGAACAGGAGAATTTGGGTTGCCCCTTAAATAGTATTGTAAGCATAATAGGGCAAGGTTCAGCCCTTCCAGTGGAGATAACTCTGGCACAACCACCTTATCCAGTGACTGGAAACCAGCAGGGAGAAATGGACACGTCTTCAGTGTGGTTCATCTCCTCCTGAGATAAGCTCTTTGCCTGACTCACCCCCAGTTTCGCTTTGGACAAGGTACGGCGCTATACTCCCTGCTTCTCTTGTGCTTCTGCCCGCTTTCCTATCTGCAGGCAGTTCACTATTTGCTTCACCAGTTCACCACATTCTCTTTTAATGCCTTTGTTTTTGTCATAGATTTTGATGTGTGCGTGCACTTGTTAAATCTGGGCAGGAATGTGTTTGAACGCTTAGCCAGATTAGCCTGGGTTCTATTTCTTCTTGCTGAGACGCGCACTCCAGCCCTGGCTGACACTATATTAGTTGCTCCTGTTCCATTATCCATTTACAAGGAAGTGGGGGTGCGTGAAATGAAGAAAGCTTCATATGCCTTGCAAACACGTTTTATCTCCCCTTTGATTCCTCACCAGCCTGTTCCAGGATCAACATCCCCTTTGAGCTAGTAACCCTGATGCTTCTTGCCTCTCCCTGTTATCATCCCTGTCCAGGATGTTACTGATTTCCTGCTCTATCCTCCACCCCAGGCTCTCCTAATTTCTCCTTTCCTCCCTGGCTTGCCAAGGTCACCCCCTCAGTGTTCACATTATGAGCAAAGCACTTTTTGTCTCCTATCCTTCTCTTCCCTGTATACCCAGCCCTTGGTACCAGCCCAGCAATCTGCAGTCATGGGGTTCAGGTCTCCATCAGCCCACTAAATTCCTGCTAATCCCAATGCCCACAGATGAGACCTTTCACTCTGGCTCTGATAGCCTGCGTTCTCATCCACAACCAGCTATCTCCAGACTCTTAGTCTATACAGTAATACTCCAGTTTATGGGGTCAGGATGGGGTGAATCTGGGATGCAGCAGAGCTACCTATGGCAGTGGCCTGATTGCACCCACCTTTGTTTTGGAGTAATAAAAGTAGCAGGTACCAGGTGCCTCTTGCTGCCTTTCTGTGCTGGCAGGTTATTTATATGCAAATTTCTTGCCGGTGTTTGCTGCTTATACACAAGATAACAAAACCTTCCATGGAGATGGGGATGGGGGAGAGGCATGCAAGAGCCTTTTGATCCAGCCAGGAGAGTTAATACAGTATTATTCACAACCAATTAGACTTTTTCAGACAGGAAGGGATAACCGTACACTGAGACGCAGTTTGTTAAACTGAGATTGCAGCTGGGGCTTGGGGAAGGCAGAGGAGAAAAGCCCCTAGACAAGTATTCAGCTACAATTAGACCATATGAGGATCAAAGAAACACATTCTTTGTGATTTGTGTCTTTAGTTGCTGTGATGCTATGGGTATCCCCAGTTTCTGGACCCTGCTTGAGTTAGAGCATTATGTAGCCAAGTGCATTAGCAGTCAAGTTACCTGCAGACCTCTCCAGACTGGTAGTGTGTTGCTGAAGGTAACTCACAGCCATGTCCTCTCTCTGTGCCTTTGCAAAATAAGCTTTGATTAACTGAAATATAGATGCTTTAATATCCTTAGATAACAAGTATTAGTGTGGCTGTGAGAACAGTAGAATCACAGATCTGAAGAGGCCACACTTACCAATGAAAACCCACTTTCTACCCAGAATAGGCTGCAATTTCTCTGTATCATATTTAGAGCCCATAATAAAATCCAGAGAGGTCCTGGGTCTTTAAAAAAACCTCTTAGCTGCCCATTACTGCCGAGAGTAGCATCTGCATACCCTGCTCTCAAACTGGCATTAGCATTAAGTGTTGAAGGCTACAGGTTTTGTTGCCTGGGTTTTTTCCTGGGAAGGCAGGAACAGAGAAGATGGAATTTCCTGGGAGGCATAATTTATTTCTTCCGGTAGGGTAGAAAATGAGCAGTTCATGACTAACGCCATCAGCTCCCTGGAAATCAGGGCTGCTTTCCAAGGGTGCAAAAACCAGGAGCTTGTATCCCTCCGCTCTCAGGCCAGTGCACAACATGCAGGCACCACAGCTCCGTACGGGAGTGAACCGCTTGGCTTCACCACTAGCTCTCAAGCTTTACCTGTCGCCTTCACCAGTTGGGCAGCTGCTACCTCCAGATCTCACCTGGACACAGGGATGAGTGGGGCAGTGAATACGAGGACTTGTGTGCTTGCTGCCCTGTGTTAAGCAAGGAAAGCAGCCTGGCAGAGGCTTTGCTGCTGGCTCCTGCCTCCCTCCAACCCTCAAGGGGCCATTCCTGGTTTTCTGCCGCTCCTAAGAGGAGATGCTGATGGGTCAGGCACATCAGGCACTGTGTAAGCCTGCCAATCCCTCCTTCTGCTTTCCCAAAGAGGAGGACTAGAGGCACTGCCTGTCACAGTGGATGTACCTCACCATGACAGACCCTGTCAGCTCTCGCTTCCCCTCCCTTGACAACATCAGGAAGAGGCTTCACAGAGCCTCAGGCACTTCAACCTGTCTTCCTTTCCAGTGCCTGCCACTGCTGTCTAAGCAGGGAATGGTAGAAGGAAAGAAAGAGGATGAGAAAAACTACTCCAAGAGGGAGGGAAAGACCAGCAGAAGAATTCAGTGCAATAGAGCAGCACTGTTGACCAGCACATAGAAGCCAAGACTAAGCTCAGAAGCACACTCCTCCCTCTGACCACCATGTCTATACTAACAAGCCAAACAGGCAGCCCTGCTTCTTCCTCCACTGCATCCTCCTGCCAGCCTCATTTCCTGCTCTGCTCAGCAAATGCCTTTGCCATGGAATGGGACCTCAGCAGTGCTTAAATAAACTCTAGGCCTGATTTGACTCCAGCTTATGCCAGGCGAGGTCACCAGCCCTACCACAAAAGCTGTGTTGGCATTACCTCCACCTCCATCCTGCTCATCCAAGCACCTGCTCCTGTTTGGGCTCCATACTCTAATGGCCAGCCACACCACTGCTCGGCTTTGCCAGCTGGCCAAATCCCTGCCCTGGGGCTTTGGAACAAAGATGTTGGTTGTAGTTTTCTTTTTGCTCGTGAAGCACTGGCAGAGGCTGCGCACTGAGTCTGCTGCTTCCCAAGGGGATGTGATGATCCCTATGGGATCCACCCATCCTCAGGAAACCCTGTTTTCAATTGCAGTTTTAATTACAGATTAAATCAGGAGTGTTGGTGTGAAGTTAGTCCCCCAGCCAGGCTGACACAAGCAGCTGTTTTGGTTTACTCATTTCCTGTCCTCCCTTTACCTCTTGGCTGCTGAGTTATTGATGTGTCTTCCAAAGACATAGTGCTGCCAAGCCCTAAGACACTTATTATATCATTTGTTTGGCATTTTGGAGCTTTCTCATGGTCCAAAGCAGCAACCTGCAAACATGCACACAGCCAAATCCCTGTTCCCCTTCAGAGCTCCAGAAAAACATCCTTGCAAAGAAACCAGTGAAGCAGCAGCTTTACCTGGGGGCTGCATCTCTAGCCCGTCATGATAAAGTACACTTGCTCCTTGACTCATTTCTGTCTGTGTTCATTCTTTATCTCCAAGCATGTTTAATTTATGCTATCTGAGGAGAAGACCCCCTTCCTACTGAGCACTTATTCCTCTCTGATCACCATAGGGATTGAACTACCCCTAAAGCTCCTAACCAAAACCACTATACAAGTGAGATATTTAACTCACTACAGTAATCCCGTTATAACAACATCACCAACTCCAACAGTACTGAGATCTAACTTGGCCCAAAATCTCTGTATTCAGGTATTCCCTACCTCTTCTCTCTTTTAAATCCTTGCCTCATCAAAGCTAGGAGCGTACTTCGGGGACTACTCCAGATTTCAAGCCTGCTTTAACGCTTCAACTCCTTGTGACAAAGGACACATGAATAACTAAGGAAGTTCTGATTTCCCATGCATCTCTAAGTGAAGGAGAAGGGAATCTGGGTCCTGAGATCTTCATGATTCAGATCACCTCACCATCTCCAGCCCATGCTTTCTGGGGAGAGAAGAGCTTTAGCCTCACAGACAGTGTCCCAGGGACACCTTCTTTCTATGGAGTGATACTGAAGCAGAGAGCTTATGGCAGAATGGATGGTTTGTGGGGCAGAGGAGCCTCCTCTCCAGCCTCTGGTGCGAGTCAGACCTGCCCACCTTTGACACATGCAAGGAAAATGGATGAAGACCTCTCCCCAGACTCCCTCAGCAGATGCCAAGTGGACTGCAGCAGGGCATAAGCAGACAGAGGGAGCAGCAAATGAGTCTGACGAGCTCCATTTGCTATCCTGGTGAGTGACTTCCCCTGCAGAGATAGAGGCTGTGATCTCTGGAGGAAACTGTCAAATACTACTAGGAGCTGCACAGGGATTTATGCTGGCAGGGGCACGATATTTCACTTCGATGACGCTTGCTTTCTTAATATTTTAATCATACTGTTAACCTCCAGACTTGAGAGACACAGGCGGCTGCCACCCTTCCCACTGTGCCTTCCGCTGATGAAGCCAAGCCCTGCAGCACACACCACGCTGACAGCGTTCCATACAGCACGAGTTATCCCCGCTCGTGCATCACAGCGCACACCACACCAGAGACCAACTGGGTCCCATTTGTCTTCCACCAAATTCAGCGGTGCTCATGCCTCAGAAAAGGAGCACAGAAGAAATAGGAAAGAAAGCCCAGGTCAAGGCAGCCAGGGCTGCAGAACTCACTTCTGCATTCCTTAATAACCTAAATGCCACGACACACTTGCTTTCCAACCCGTTCCATGCTGCATTCTTATGAATGAATGGTAATCAAGGCAAGAAAAAGCAGAGTAAGGCAAGAACCCCCGAGCGTTCAACCCCACATAGGATCATTTATCGCCTAACAAATTCCCTTCGATTTCAGTGACTCAGGAAATTTATGTCCTTGATCTGTTTTGCTTTCTTCCCTCAGGTTGCTTTAGCTTGGGAGCTTTTGGGTTCGTTTTAACTGTATTATCCTAGCGTACTCATATCCTAGGGAAACGCTTCCAAGACTTGTGCATACAGAGATTTTCGCAATGCTTGTGGACACATTTGTCATGGGACTGCATACTTGCAGTATCTGATAAGGCGGATGATTTCCTCTAATCCAGGGTCCTGTGTCATATTAGTGTAAACTGAAAATCTGCATTGATCATATGCAGGTGGTGTGGTCGTCTGATGCTCGTTCTGTATGCAAGAGTAACCAGGCTCTCTCAGAGATGTACAATGGGGATGAAAGAGGAGCCCGTTCTATAGCAGAGAAAGGCAGAAAAGTACTAAATGCTTTCTTAACCCTGGAATTCAGACATGAACACTGTAATGAGTTTTCCAAATCTAAATAACAGTCTTTTCTAAGAGCAAGAAGCAAGCAAATGCAAGCCCCAAACAGGGGGAATTACAGAGCAAGTCAGAAGGCAATAACAAGACATCCCAGGCTGCTCCTCAGTCTGTCAAATGGGTTATTCCCTATGTTCTGCATGACACGAGATTGCAGGCAGGTGTCTGGCCGATCACAGGAGACAGGGTGATAAATCCTTCCTGCCACTGACTGCACTCCTGCTCTTCGCCACTGTATTTTGACAGGGAGAGAATTGAATAGTGTCACTAACAGACAGAGAAGGAATTATAAGGTTCGTTTAGAAGGCAGTAAAGAGGGAATTTTCAATTTCCTTTTAAAATCACAACATAATAATTCTTTCAGTGTTTCAACAGGGGAGCAGGAGCCAATGGGACCTCAAAGCATTTCAGTATTGGGATGGGTCCTTACACCATAGTTGAGAGCACAGCTTGGAGACCACAGCGAGCAGAGGAATTCAGGTAAATAGAAGGGTTGGCACACATTTGTAACACCTCCAAAGCTAAAACTATGGCCTCTTTATACTGAAGCATATTACAAATGGGTAAGGAAAAGACCCTTTTCCTTAAGGAGCATAAGGAAACAGGACTCTGTACTATCACTGGGGAGCAAAGCCCTGAACACACAAGATGACAGGACCAAGACCTTGTTGACAACCTGTGGCAGTACGAAGATCGGATTCCAGGTTGGGCCCAATTTTAGTGTGAACACAAAATCAGGCTTCTGTGCTGTGTGCATGTGCATATATATTGTATAAAAGTCTAGAGTGTGTACGTGCTCACCCATCAGTGCACTGTAGGGAGGGTACACGTGACAGCATTAAAGTCCAAGTTCTGCCATTAATTCCTGTTGGTTCCTTGTATGAAATGACTGTGATTTCAGGAGCATTCCTAGAAACCTGGAGCAGATATTAAGCACGTATGCAAGCATTGATTCATGTCTTTGAGTCAGTATAGATTGGTATGCATGAGCGAGGACAAGGTCTTGGAGAGGAAATGAATACATCCGCATGCCAGAATTATGGAGTCACCAATGGAACAGGCACATAAGCAAAGTATACCTTTGCAGCATGCTAAGCAAAATAATCACAGGCTTTCTCAGTTAACTGTTTTCCTATTCTTCTTTCTATCACCATGTGAATAGCTACAAACTGGCCTCAGCTGGATGCATAGCGAGATGATTGATGCAATCAGCTTGTATGTAATTAGTGACCAAAGTAATAAGGGCAGTCTCCTAATGTTTTGTTGGGATCTGATAACAATGCATATACATCACAGAGACATACACATGGCATTTTCACACACATATATTCATAGTTATGCCCACGGTTACATGAATAAGAGCCATGAATAGTCCTGAAGGCTCTAGTTTGCTGTTGTGTTAGGAGTTTTGGGGGTATGCCAAATGCTGATTGCTGCTACAATGCAACAGTTCCTGTTTGGATCAGAAAGGCCACACAAAAAAATGTATCAACTGTTACTTATATTCATTGTGCAATTTCTACTCTTTTCATTTATTCTATTTTATACCAGCATATTTTTCCATGATATGGACAAGAGTTTCATTTGCTAAAGCTAAGTGCGATGCCACAGAAATCAATAGCGTAATGATAAACTTTCTGTAGCTCGGGATCTGATTCCCAATCTTTTATCTGAATTACAGTATTGATTGGTGGAAAAAAATGGATTACACATAATACAGGACAATTAAATGCTATGCAATTAGCACTAAGCCTCAAAATGACTGAAAGACCAAGGAATAGACCTCAGTAATCAGGTTTTGTTCCTACTTTTTTAAAGGATGTAAATCCTTAAGTCTCAGCACTCAGGCCAGCCTCTAATTGGTGTATGTTAGGAACACACTTTCCCTATGAGCAAACAGTCCTAATTATCCACTGGTGAATTCCTCTCCAGCATCTGGAGCAATTTATTGTGGGAGGTAGATACTGTTCTGGTAGACCAATGGTTTGATCTTCTAAGGCTATTTGTCTGGGAAACTAGCCAGGCTTGAATACCAATTATCTCATTAGAAATCTGGACTAACTCCATTGACTTTATTGGGAATGGTTAAATTTGGAATAACTTTCATACAGTGGGTTCATCCAGACTAAAATGCAAATTGAGGACAATATATTTCAGTCTAAACTAGAAGGACCTCTAATACAAGACCACTGGGAATAGAATGAGAGAACAGGGAGTGCATCGAATGCTGTTCTGAGGTAGTGGGACAAGAACATTCCTGCCAGGAAAACAGGTCACAAATTAGGTCCATGAATCTCTGTATTTTGCTGCTATCATTAAGGATTTGTAGATGCAGAGGGGGAAAAGAAAAGGGCAATTTAATTTCTTACTTTGGAAATAACAGCGAGGCATTCACCAGAACAAGAAATGTTTTTGGATACATTAAGCTTGACCTTTAGGTTATGCTATGGTAAAGCACTTGGCTAATATTATTCTTCGAAAGCACTGGAGCAAAGTTGCATACAGGCCTTTATTTCTGGTACATAAGCACTATAAGTTTGATAGCTCCCTGTTAGCTGATCTGTGGCCATAGGTCACTCTCAAATCTTCATTTACGTCAGGTAATGCCATGCATCATTGATTTCAATTGAGGAGATGCTTATTAATAAGATTTAGTGTATTAGATTGTAAGACTAACAGAAAGACCATCTGTGGCATCATAGTGATCCAGAAAGCTGGAATAACTCCTTGCATCCCTATATAATTTTCATTAGATGCTTGCCATAGTTTTCAGTGTTAACAGCTTGTTTAGGGCATCAGCGTGTTTAGACCTATTGCAGGTCTGATGATCTAAGACCCATATGGAAAACTATGTGAAGACTGCAACAGCTTCTGTATTACAAGACATTAAAAATGTGAAAGCTAGATTAGTTTTGGAAGAGGATGAGTAAAAGGTAACACGACAGAGGCATGTAAAGTAACAAAGGGCACAAAGAAGGTCAGCTGGAGGCTCCTGGTTTTACTTTTCATAATACAGGAATCCAATTAGATTAAAAGGCTATTCATTTAAAACTGATAGGAGGAAATACTCTTTTCACATACAGCACTATTAGGCAGTGGAATTCATGAGCACGAGGTATTACAGAGAATTTAGGATTGTCCCAAAAGAGGGAGTGTTCACAGAGGCAGAACATACATCTTTAGAATAAAAGGTTTAAAGCGGATATAGACTCATACCTTAGGCTACACATTAAGCACAAGAGACTTGGTACAAGCTCAGAAAAGCCGGCCCAGATACTGACTTTCATTTCAGAGGGATTTGTTCCTATCCATGGCACCTTGTTGATGAAGGGAATGCCCTCATATAATTTCATTCCTGGCCATAATGGGAATGATTAGCTTTCTGTCCTCAGCTACTGCAGCAGTAGTTTTTGGTGTTGCAAGTCCCAGACTAAAGAAGCCATCAATCTGAGTGTGATGACAGTGACAGAGAAACAAATATCCCTAATTCCACTCTTGAATGAAAAAAATTCAGCCTTACATTTAACTGACAGAACCTTACATATCTTTCTGTCAGAAAGATGAATAATTATAATAAATTAAGAACAACTTCTTAAAGAAAACCTTTAGAAGGCACCTTCTTCAAGTTAAGTAACTGTAAGAAGACTCGGGCAATAAGACAGTGCCTCATCTTGGTGACTGCTCATCTGATATCCCAACACATCCGTTACGGTAATGATGCAATATTGTTTTAGCATTGTCATTATTTATTAGCACACCAAAAAACGTTATCCAGATTAGGCTCCTATTATGCTGGGAACTGTGTATACACATGGTAAGATAAGTGCTGCTAAAAAGCACTTGTGATCTCAATTTAAATTAAGCACAACAGGCATAAGTAACAAACAAATGTAGACCATGAGAGAAAATGGCTAAAAGCTCTAAAGATAAGTGCCCAGAGGCTCTTCATCTTTGCAGTTCTTTTTTAAGAATCATAGTAAATGAACTGTTGGGGAAAAAGTGTCTTAGGCACGGGGCTTGAAGTGGATACATCACTGAAAAACAAATTCTGAGAGTCATAATCATAAACATTTATACAGGAAATCTGATGCTGTGATTTATGCTTATCCAATCAGGGATTTAAAATATGCCGTGTAACCACAGACAAGAATCAAAGCTGCTCCAAACACACTTATAAAGAACTGACAAGCTTTAGACCAAGATTTATCAGTAGAAACTATTTCGGAATATCGTGTTGCCAATAAACATGTTTCAGAAAGTTGCAATCACAGAGTATTCACAGAAAGCAGAGTGGATCAAACTGCCACCAAAATCCATTCCGAATCGAATGAATGAGGACTCGAATGGAACTGTTTTCCCTTTGAAAATGTCATTCTTCCAAAATCAAAATATGTTGTGAAATTGTGTTAATCTTGGCCAGGAAGTGTAAAAGAATATCGACAATGATGACATGTCTTGGTTTGGAGTTTTAGAATAAGAATCTCGGCTGTTTCTTTGTGAGATGATTGAAATTCCCCTTTTTCACCCGATAAAATACAAATATCAGCACCAAAGCAAAACAATTCCGTTTTGAATGCTGGCCAAGTTCCACCTAAAACCAAAGGGTTTGGTTGGGTTTTTTTCATCCATTCCTGTTACATCACTGCTTATAAAAACCTGCTCATGTCTGAGCTAAATGTATTCATGAACCCATCTGTTAGGTCCTTTTATAGCTCGAACAAGACGACATGGGCTGAGACCTACAAAAAGTCATCCTCAGAACAAACAGTACCTCTCCAGAGCTGGCTGCAGGAGGGAATCCATCCTCTGATGGGTTTTGAAGCTGAATTTGCTTAGAAATGTCAAAGAGTTTGAAATACATCTCCCTTTCTCCACTCCATTTTGCAATGCTGAAACAAAACTAAAGCTGTGCTTTACCCTTCTGGGTTGCATGTTTGCCTTTACTTTTGCTGGACTGCTCCGGTTCAGAGCCTCATACCCAGTCATTGAGATATGCACTACCGAAATCTTATCTTTTCTCTGGCTGCATAGCACATGTGGCTGAAGTGTTTTGGTGCCTTTCAGTAAACCGGAGAGGAACTAATTTGGTTCAATCTCTAGAATTAAGTAGCCTTGGCTGGGAAATCCCATTCTCCCACCTTCTTTTTCCATCCCATTTCTGAGCTGCTCCCTCCATTCCTCCTGGCTATTCCCTGCCATTGCACATGATCTGCAGATGCGCAGTCCTCTCGAGACTAGGGAGGAAGGATTTGACAAAGGTCTCTCAGACAAGGCACTCTAAAAGTGACAAAAACCTAAAACCCTGCTGAGCTAAATGCAACGTGAAAAGGGCAAAGCTAAAGTCAGCTCAGCAGAACCAGTCCCTCCTTTTGCTCAGAAGACACTGGCTCAGCGGAGACCAGGGCTGGCCTGCTGTTACCTTTCAGGTTTGAACAACAGGACTTTTAATGTAGCACTCAGGTGGCAGAAGGAAAAAGTCCGTGCCTGGTGACATTTCTTGTCTCTGATCTCATCTGTGGCCACCGAAGGTTCATGTGGCATCTTTGAACATGGTGTCTGTCTGGAAGGTGTCACACTGCCAGCAAACATTCTTAAGTGGCTGAGCCATAGCATGAATTCAGAAGGGAAAACCTGTTATGCTTAGCCTGAATGTCTGAATTAAAAGGAAGAGCTGAAGGTGTTAAGAGCAGATGTCTCCCATACTGTATGTCCCTCTGTTTATTACACAAGCAACCTACTGCTTTAACCCATGCAGAAATAACAAAGGTGCGCAGCCAAAAAGAGAAGTCTCAAAGGGAGACAAAAGCTCCAGAGATTGACTGGGAGGTCTCTGAAGATGTGGCTTCAGTATTAGCATGTTGGGATCATGTCAAAACCCACAGGGGATTGACCAGCAGATTTGGGCTGACGGTTGATA